CGTTTTCAAACACTGAGTTTATTTCATAAAGGATTCTATTCAAGAACCTATCGTTTGGGAGATTTATCTAAATGTGTTACGTTTTCATAAATGCAAGCTATCACTTCCATATCAATCGCGATTAAAGAATGGGACGTTCAATCGGCACTATTTTGACATTTTTACATTTATCGAACGACGTTTTTAGTTCAAGTTCAGTTATCAGGGTAAATATGAGCCAAGGAAAGTAAAATTAGGAAGTTCCAGTTCACTGAGTTCGAGTTAGCTGATAATAAATGAATGAAAAAAATGGGATCAAGTCCAAGGGACTATCAGCATTATTATTATCATTTTAACAATTATTTTTGATTAAATATTATCTGATGCCCTTTGTTTCTCAGTGTATTCATATGTTGGAAAGCCATGAGGATGATATAACGCAGTGGTACTTAAGTAGTCAAAAGGAAAATCTAATGGACTGGCTGTGTGTAGAACGAATTCTGGACGAAAATGAACAAGGTACGTATTGTTTTCAGCTCCCAAATATCGAGATTATAGTCGATGAATAACGGTAATGGATGCGTTATTTCGAAAACGAACGAGCACGCAGCGCGAGTTTGATTTGAAATCACAAGTATAATTTCATCCCAAAATTGCACCTACTCAGTACAATAACCGCTTTATTAAATTCATTTGAAGTTACAAAATCCAGTCACTCAAATACAGGATTTTTTAGTCTGCACAAATATTTTGTTGATCCAGTAAAAATATTTGCAAAAGTTGTCTCTGAAATCGTGTAACTCAAAACAAGTAGATTTAGAAATCTGACTGGTTTTTGTGTTTAATAAAGCTTTCTCATTGATACAGCCACCTTGCGTTTAGGGCAAGATATGACGCAACTGTTGACCAATCATAGCACGCTATCAATGCAGTCTCCTTCACCAAATAGACACGCAAATTAATCAACTTAAATACAACATCAGAGAATTGTTTTGGACCATACTCTAAATCTAGCAAATTTATCAGTGATTGGAAACTTGTTTTCTACTTTGATTTGAAGTGAGCAAAAAGGAGGCCTGCTCAGCCCCGTGAGAGATTTGAACTCTCGACCCCTGGTTTACAAGACCAGTGCTCTAACCACTGAGCTAACGAGGCGGCCACTTGCGATAATGCAAGGATTAATCATTATTTACAGCCCTGGGGGAAGAGGTGGAGGGGGTTGGAGGAGCTTGATGTGATCCCCGAAAAATCCTTAGACGATGATTAATGTTTTCAGCTCCCAATTATTGAGATTACAGTCGATGAATAACGGTAATTGATGCGTTTTTTCAAAATCGAACGAGCACGCAGCGCGAGTTTGATTTGAAATCACAATTATAATTCTATACCAAAATTGCACTCCACCAGGAGGCCAATAACCACTCAAATACAAGTTTTTTTAATCCGCACAAATATTTTGTTGACCCAATAAAAAAATTTGCAAAAGTTGTCTCTCAAATCTTGTAATTTGATTGGTTACTTGAAAACAAACTTAAAACAAGCAGATTTAAAAATCTGATTGGTTTTTTGTTTAATAAAGCTTTCTCATTGGCTAGGAAAAAGAAGTCAGAAGACAATTTCTAGAATCAGGGCCTCAGAGGATTGATCAAGCCACCCTGCATTTAGGATAAGATATGACGTAATTGTTGGCCAATCACAGCACGCCATCAATGCAGTCTCCTTCACCAAAAATAGACACACAAATGAAAAAACTTAACACAATATCAGATAATTGTTTTAGACCATACTCTAAGTCTAACAAATATATCAATAATTTGAAACTTTTTTTTTATTTGAAGAGGACAAAAAGGAAACTTGCCCAGCCCCGTGAGAGAATTGAACTCTCGACCCCTGGTTTACAAGACCAGTGCTCTAACCGCTGAGCTAACGAGGCGACCACATATCACATTTGTGATCCCCCCATAATTGTTCGAACCCTACCTTCCCTCTCCCCCAGCGAAGAACAATGACCCGTCTTTAAATAGTGATTTCTTGAGAACGGGATGTAAATTTATTCACCACTTCGACGGTTTCTTCGGAATCAACATAAGAAGCAGCTCCCAGTTGGCTTGTTATGTTAGCTGGTGGAGCGCTGCACCGGTATCGCAGAGGTCATGGGTTCAAATCCCGTACGGGCCTGAATTTTTTTCAGGCCTTATTTTCACTACTAATTGAGTAGTGTTCATAACTGCAAGGATCGCTTTGAATTAGCCTGTTAACGCATATTTTTCTTTTCCCAAGATTGCCTAAATGCTTCAACAAATATGCCAGAAGATTACTACTCATTCATACAGGATGACAAATCTACCATACCAGCCCCTAAACCAGACATACCAATGAGAGATGATAAGCGCTGGGAGTTGTAATCAGACTGTGTGAGAGTTGAAGAATATGGGAAAGGCGCACCAAATTGAAAATATGCCGTTGAGGATGACCTTTTAAAGCCAAAACGACTTTAGTGATCGTCCATCCAAGTTTTAGCATATAAATAACGTCTGATTTTGTTACAAAAATCGTACATCATAAGGCTGTCCCGATTAAACGAAAATATTGCAAATAAAATTTCTTACAAATGGTCTCCTGAGTGGTAAAATTCAGTGAAAACGCGTGTTTAATGATGCAGTATGTACAGCCGAGACCGTAACAATATCGACAACCAGCAATGGGGATGTGATTCCAAATCAGAGCGAAATTATTTATGGTTATAAAAATCACATAAAGTCTGTAGGAGGGATCCACCAGCTAATTCATGCATACTACACGAAGTACTAAAATTATACAGCTCTGTCCGATAGTTATTCCCAAAACGAGTTAGATAAACGTAATTTCATTCCACAAGAGAACTACGATGATCTTCAAATGACTATATCTGTTCATTTTTGACAAACAAAAGTACCTCCAGCTTTTGTATTCTTGAAATATTCCGCAAGAAGGGAATCGAAGTCACCGGGTAATTCATTTGTCGCAGTTGTCTTGAAACTATCGTGAACGTCTCAGTTGTGGGAGACGTTGATAAGGTAACTTTACAATCAATTTATGCAGTCATTGTCGTGTCAGAGAGGGTAATATTAGTTTTAAGAGGTTAAGTCGAGCCAAGTGACAATTAGAATTTGATTGCTTTGTCGGTTAAAATTTTCGACCTTTGTCGGTAGTCGGTAAATCTCACTTAATGATTAAAATGTAAAATAATCATTCATATTTGTTACGTATTTTAGCCAATTTTAAGACTCATCATTTCATTGCACTTCAACCTCATTAACTCGGGTTTCTATGAGAAAAATGATCATTTATTCCTCCTTTGTTTGCCAATAAAGTGCCGATAAAATCACCAAAGCTTTTATTGCGAAGTAATCAAGATGAGAGACAGAGAGCAACACGCCCACTTTAGCCTTTTTAATACGTTATAAATTCTTAATAACGAATATCTTTTTCCGAGACGTCTTCGAAAACGCACTGATTTATGGTACTTCCATCCTTACAAAGGGAATTTTTTGGGTCTTTTGCCACGTTTTTGCTGCAATTCATACTAATAAAAAATTCAGAATTAAGCTCTCCGGACTTCTTCGGAAACCAACGTCCGATGTCCAAACTTAATTTCAGTCGAACAAACACAGATAACCCAGCTTTTCAGTCCCATTATTCTCTCCTGAAGAAGCATCATTAAGACAGCTGCCATTAATCCACACCGTCACTAGTCCAGATGCATAAATATACGAACAGAAAATTTTATAGTTAATTGAATCTTAAATTAAAGTGGTTACCTCCTGAACTAAAATGCTCTTTTTCCTGAAAACAAATACGGATAATATAATGGCGGACCATTCCGCTTGTCGATTAGTATTTTCTTGTCGCCAATCAATATTTTTTTGCGTTTTGTTGGTATTCAGTTTTATTTTTTACGCCCTTTGCCGCTTATCGGTTAACCCCGTTCGGGCTCTTCATGACATGACAAAGAGCATTTCACGAATAAACACTGAAAAGAAGAACTCTTGATCCGACCAAAATTGAAATGAAAGCCCTTCAAAGTTTACTCTATTCACTGATTCTTTAAATCGGCTTAAGAAGCACGTTATTGACAACTAATTTGCATCTGTGTTGCCTCACGCTTGGAGTGTTATCAACAAGAGTTTGTTCATCGTGTCAAAATGCATGAACATCAAGGAGAAATTAATGTGTACCCAGCTTATCAGTTTCATACCGATTCTCAAATGTATGTTTTTTTTTTGCCATGGAACACCAAAGACTAGTACAAAAAAAAAACTTTTGTTAAGGATATTTACAAATTCTACCACGACTTGCATTTTAAAATGATTGGGTAGAGTTCACAGGTCAAGAATCTTTATTTACGACACGCGCCATTAGATAGCCGTAACCAGCCTGCAATGACACAAAATTAGTCGTAAATACTTCATGTTTACTCGCAGAGGAACAAATCAAGAAACTCTCTGAATTCCATGTCTTACACGAGTCCCAAGTGACTTACTAGGGACTCGTGATATTCTCTCGTTCTGACACGATTTAAATGAAATGCCCGAATAATTTTTCCTGTTATATTCTAATTGCTAATTACAACTTTCCTGAGGGAAGCTACTAAAGCATTGTCATACGCTTTCGTCAGAGAAGCTACTCTATTGTATTTATGACAATAGAAGTTTCAGATCCAATACATGTTTTTCCGGGTACCTACGAAAACCGTGTTAAACTCTACATTAAGATGAGCAATGCGGAAAAGTCTTCGAGGTCACTCAGTATATCGCGAGAGAGCGTTTACAGCGTACAAATAAACACTGGTATCGTTGTTTACTTATTGGCTTCAAGATGACGTTGAAGCAAGAAACAATGTTCTATGTCATCTTTCTGCTTTTTGCAATTTCTGCCAAAGGATATGAAGGTAAGATATAATTATATGATAGATGATTATTTATTCTCTTGTTGACATTACTTAGCTTTGAACTAACTGCAGCACTGATGATATCTACAAAATGAACTTCGCTTTGAAAAACGTACAAATAACGCGAAAGAGCTTTCTGAAACTTTAAAGAAATACTGGTCTTCGGAAAAACTTGAGTTTTCGAATGAAATCAAAGTCGAGATTAACAATAGCTCCGCTGTATTTTCTAAAATTTCCTGTTTGGCCAAGATCAGGCAACAATCTACTGTTCACTCAAAGAGTTTCGTCGATCTTTGAAATTATCTTACTGATAGTTTGACATTTTAGCAGGAAATGGCTCAAGTAATGCACAAGCTCCAGCAATTAGAATTTTGATGCAAGTTTGCGAAGGACAAGCTGAGGTTATTTATCCCTTAGTCTCTGCCAAACCCTCAATAATTCAATCACCATCGTCAATTTGAGTAAATAGGAGTAATATTTCATCCCCTTGGTATTGTTACTGCCAACTATAACGAAATATTGGATTTGAAATATTACTCTTCTTCTACTTATTAAATTGATGCGTTTTCGAACTTATCACAGAACAGGAGAGAAGGGAGGGGGGAACGAGGTGCAGAAAGAGAACGGTCATGATGTGACATCGATAGAGTTCTGAGTTTCATTTATTAACATATTCATGAAAAAATATTTAAAGAATATTTTCGAAAATTTGATGTTTAACGGCAATTTGACACCTTAACTGTATTGTTAAATTTTGCTAGGTTCGCTCTGATAATAATAACAATAATGACCTTCATACTTGTAACTCTTTTTAATCATCGATAATTTGTCCCAGCTCCCTCCCCGCTCCCCCTCCCTTCTCTCTCTATTTCCCCTTCTCCTATTCGTCGTCTAACACCCTTAGGAAAAAAAAATTGCAAGCTTGTAGTGGATACAGTTTCCTTTAGGCGTCAAAAGTTCAAGTTTCTTTCTAACCCTTCTTTTTGATTAATTATTGTACAGAGTAGTGAATAGATAATTTTTTCCTGTTTAGAAACAAAACAGACGCATTTGAATAGACGCCCACGGCGAACGTCTAAAATAATAGTGTTTGTCCAACCTGAAAAATTCTATTCATTGACTTGAAAACCACAACTTTTTTTTTAAATTTACATGTTATTTTGATATATTTTTTATTTTATAGCTCAATATAAGAGCTTTGGTCCTTCTCTCGAAACACAAAACCCAAAATTTGGGGATATGATGTTCAGTGGCTGTGTTGGTGAACTTTTCTTTGTCCGTGCATTAAAAGCGTATGACTCAAGTAGCTCATTGATGACACAACTAATCTTGGTTCGGTAAACTAAACCGACTCGCGTATGATTGACAGACATTTTGTTATCGGCTAAGTTAAATGAACAGGGATGCTAAATAAATAATTTTCCCTGTTTTGAGCAAAATACGTTCACTGCGATGTCAGGGGTATCACTAATTGTAAAACCGCGGCATACAGCTTTTTTCAAATCTAAATATTTCTTCAGCTAAGGTATTTAGTCCTCTTTGATCGATAATGGGGTCATTATAACGAGAGGCGGGAGATCAGAGCTAATATGGACAGAAAGAAAGAAAGCTGAGCTCAAATCGCCAACAAAATTCCATTGTTAATGGCCTTTTACTATTATAGATCACACCTCTGCTAAGACGATTAATTGTCCGTTTGTCTACTTTGCTGGGCATAGATTAGACATCATTACATTTCCTACTGATTTAACGAGACTTTTGTTTTAGTTGAAACGTCTTCTGTCTTTCAGATGTTAATGAGTGTCTGGACCAGAATGGACACTGTCAAGATATTTGTGTGAATACCAATGGCAGTTACTACTGCGCTTGCTCAGATCCAGAGTTCAGCGTTGCACAAGACCAGCGACATTGTATCGGTAAGTAGAACAAAACCACAGGAAATATGTTTGGAAGATTATCAGGAATCGCCCGTGTAATGTATGATCATTTCCTTTCTCATGGTGAATTCCATTAAGGTTTTCGAAACGTTAGTCACCTCTTCCAACAATAATTGCACTCTCCCTTGGGAGATCAGACAACACAATCAATTTATGATCACTGTTAAGAGTTTACAGGTGTGTGGTAAAAATAATTTTTTATGGAGATCGGCCCTTTTGCTCAATGATAAGCTTATTCTTGCCGATATAATTATGTGCAGCACAAAATCTTTCTTATGGCTATATTATTACCCTGATTTTGCAGCCAAATTTCGGCGATAAAGGTTCCAAGTTTATTCTTCATGCTGTCTGTGTCCTTTTTGGCATTTGATTTAACACTGCAGAACCTTGAAATGAAATCTGTTCTTTTTTTCAACAGCCGAAGGAGTGGAAGTAGACTGTGGTCAGGACGAGATGACTATCACTCTACCCAAGTCTCTCCTTTTGGGTTTAGACCGTGAGCATTTGAGGCTCATAGATCCAGAGTGCACAGCCACTGAAAACGAGACTCACTTTTTCCTTCAAACCAAAACCGATGAATGTGGTACAATTCTGAAGCATACTAAGGATCATGCCATATACAGCAACATGGTGTCGGAAATCCCCATAAAAGAAAACCAGATTGTGACACGCGTGCGCGATGCTATGATCCCCTTCCACTGCTATTATTCCAAATGGGGTGTGGTGTCCTCCATTGGAATCAGACCATCGAGCACGAAGATTGTTTTGTCTTCAAAGGGATTTGGAAAGTTCACTCTCAGTCTGGATTTGTTCAGAAGTCCAGAGTAAGACAAGTCTTTACAATAGTAAATGAGTAATTGTAATGTAATTGGATTTGATTGGGCTATTTCCCAATAACTAAAAAAAAAACTCGCTTTCAATCTGAGGAAAAGCACAAAACTTTTCTGTAGAAAATACCCATTCAGGAAAATGAACATTTTCATGGTAAAATCTTCGCAATAATCCTTGATTTAAAAAAGGGATCTTAAGCATTTTTGATAAGACTCTGCTTCTGATGCAATGTATCATCAATCTTAACCGCCACATTGTGTCTAAATCTCCAAACATATGCCTTGAAGAAATACTTTCAATAACGTTTTTTCTAAGTGTGAACATCGCTTTTCTAAAACAACAATTACTTTCACGTCCTCGACAGACGTAGCTTTCCAGCACGAGAGGTAAGGTCTAATCGTATTTCCACATTTTTGTTCAAACAGATTCACTGCGCCCTTCTCTCAGGATGACTTCCCTGTCGAGTTCACAATCCGTGAACGAGTGTACTTTGAAGCCCGTGTCGACACCATTGACACAACATTGTCAATTTTGGCCTTGGACTGCTATGCCACCCCCTCTCAGGACAGGAATTCCCAGCCCAGATATGATATTATTAAAGACGGGTGGGTATTTTTCATGATGTAAATTTCACCCGTCATTATGCGCCATAAGTCCAGCAAGCTTGTCTAAAAGTAATGGACTTTATAGAGCTTTTCAAGTTTTGCCTCAAAAAAAAAATCCATCGCCATTTGAAAGTGACGGAGACTAGGTGACACTTTTCCGTATCATGAAAAATTGTGCATGAGAAGAATAACTGATTTCTCGTAATATTTGTGGTTTATAACAGCAGGTACCTTTTTTTTTAAATTTTATTTATTTTTCCTCGATAAAAACTACAACCCGCAACTTGTCCACTGGGGGAAAGGCAAATCCACACCATTTATCCTTTTACTAGTTTCATGGAAGAGTGCTAATATTCTTCCCTCCATTTCTTCAATAAAATATTCGTTGATTCATTGAAACCAATCACAGGGCGTGTATCTCTCCAATCGCTCGAACTATTTTCTCATGAAGTAATCAAACGACGATGGCCTGTAAGTGCCATTTTACATGAATGAAAAAAAATTGGATCGTGTTGTTTAAGTCATTACAAAGGATCCAAAGTTACCTTTACAAACTTTGGATCCGTGGTTCTAAATTTGGATCCTTAGTTGTAACTTTTGTCTTTAGTTATAACTTTGGATCCTTAGTTATAGCTTTAGGTTCTTAGTTATAGCTTCAAAACTAATATCCACTGTTTTTCATTATTTAGAATGGCGCTTAAAGGCCACCGTACAAAACTAAACCTCAGAAGTTATTAGTAAAGAGAAAAGTAAAAACTTTATCAAGAGAAGTGACTCGTGAGAGTTTTACCCTAGAACTAGTGGCCGTCAAAGTTTACAAAACTAAGCCTACTTTATTACTTTCTCAGGTGTTCGGTCGACGATGATGACACACTTCAATTCCATGACAGCCCCGGCAACCAGTCTCAGCGCTGGAGCCTTGAGGCCTTTCAATATGTCAGCAAGCACCCGTATGTGTTTTTTCATTGCCAGGTTCAGGTCTGTGACGCCGCAGATCCTGCCTCAAGGTGTGCCCAAGGCTGCATACAGAGAAGACGAAGAAGCGAGAAGGTCCTTCATGACAACCCGGATGACATATATGCTTTGGCCCAGGGTCCTCTCGCACTGAACCGCGATAAGAGGGAGGCAGAAGTCGATGAAGCGGTTGCCTTGGATAAGAACACGCTCAAACTCAAAACAGGCGAGTATTTGAAGTAAACACATTGTAACATTTGGATTTACTAGCAGAGAGGTGAAAATTTATCTAGACAGAAGACCAAAATATATTTTAAATCGAGAAAAAGTATTATTTGGCAGATGGTTTTAGCTCAGGAGTTACAGTTGATTGTGTTCGTTAATCTTTTAGGTGAGAGAGGTCCTAAAAACAGCTGCCATCGATTCATGAAAATGATATGAGCTTAGGGTGTTGATAAGTAACTCTTTGTCAAGGACGAAACTCCGTTGTAAGACTACTCTCATCCGGATGATTAGACAAACGAGCAATCAGTTTCCCAATAACTGGCTTGAAACATCACCACAAGTGTCTCTCATTCTGTTTAAGGTCCACCTTCCTCAGACGAGGATCTAACACGATCAAGCTAATCTTGATTTTCTCACTTTTCCTTCATCAGGTTTCCACGCGCCTGTTTTAGCCTCGCTGGGTGTGCTTATCGTATTGTGCTTAATGGGGATGATATGGCTGAAGGTCACTTCGAACAAACAGAGAGTCGCAAAGCAGTTCATACCACTTTACGAGGACCTGCAGAAGTGATAACGTCATAGAGAATTTTCCGACCTCAATTGCTCAGTGTTGATGCTGTTCTTGTTAAAATGTATGTCTCTCTGTAACCACTTTAGGATGGATTTCATACTTCATCCGACAAGAAATATGTAATTTTGTACTTTTTTACTGTCTTCTTTTGAATAATTATCGTGAAAAAATCAAGATATCATTTTTTTTCTCCGGAGATATTTTGCTTTATAGGATAACTGTAATATTGAGCGCACCCTGATGAATGCAAAAACCAACGTTTACTAACACTGGAAGACCCATAGTTGCTTCTTAAAAATTAAAAAAATGCTCTTCCTATCACTTTACGGAACTTATAACTCACTTGGTATTTAGATGGATCGAAAACCCCAATTTGTAAGAGCTGCGCAATAAAAAACATATGTACTCAAAGTCTACTCGAGGACTTGTCTGTGAAAGGTCCCTAAACAATCTCACTAAGTGGCTGAGTGGAATAAAAGAAACACAGAATATTCAATAACGGAAAGAATCATTAAGCGGTTACATACCTTCAGCTATAAGACTTTCATGCTCGTCACGGATCCTGTATTTGGAGCGTTCATCTGCAGTTAATTAAATTATTTAAGTATTTGATAGAATATCATTTCTAAGGATCGTTAAAAATGGTAATCTGAAACCACAAAATGCTCATTAACGCGTTAGTTGTCTTTAAAGCCACGTCTCATGAGCACAATTCTTGACGGCGAGTTTCTTATTGTCAGAGCTCCTCACAGTGGATGCACAGTACATAACAGCAAGGCGCATGAGGTTTGATATAAGGAAATTTTCAAGAAAAGTTTCAACAAATCAAGAACGGTCGTTAACGGCAAGGATACAGTACAAATTAGTACAGCTGCATAGGCCATACTGCACAACTTAGCAGTCGACGCCCTTTGCAAATCTCTCCTTCTGCTCAGGCTACGATCTTTAACACTTAAAAGGGGAAATTTAACGGGAGAGAAAAATAAAAAAATGCCAAATATAAGCCCGGCAAAAGTGAATCCATGAGAGGGGGATATGTAATTATCACACAAGTAGATTAAAATGGATTTTAATGACCGGTAGTGCTTCTGTTACTATTCTCCTCAATCTGTGCATGAGGGTCCAACAAATCCTTCATCAAAAGACCACCAGACTGAAATGGGAGGTTAAGGGGACTCAAGTAAAAAGCAATAGTATATCCATAGGGTGAAAAATACTCAAAGCGTGCGTTGATTGGCCAGCAGAAGGTGACTAGCATGTATTATTCACCTCCAAGCTGCTAGAGAGACGAAATCGCGCGTCCAGAGTTTAGTTTATGATCACGCGTTGTATTTTGACAGAAATGGACGAGATACTTGTGAGTCAACTGCTTTAAATTTCTAACTAACGTTGTGCTGCGTCGAATGGATATGACTATTATTGTCGTTTCAAAATTTGAAATATCAATTTCTTCCGCTTGTAATCCGCTTTCGAGGGGGTTGTGCTCTTGTGCATACTTCTCTTCATGATTGACTTGACCATTTGGTGACGTGCAATCTAAATACGAAGTGCATGCATGACTTTGTCAAAGGACGTACTTTTAAAACCATTCATGATTTTTGTACCAGTGTAGCATCTGAGGTGAAGAAAAACAAGAATTACATAATGGACCATGGAGGTGGCCACGATCGCTTTTTGTTTTGCTGCATTCGTTTCAGGCTTGCACCATTTGCCGCGTCGTAAAATTGTCGTTTTGCTTTTTTTCTTCGTCTCGAAAATTTCCCCCTTCTAAAGGCGGTGGATCTATGAAATCTCTGCAACTTCATCGTAAATAACTCTCGTATTCAGTACGGTCAGTATAGAGAAATCTATATTGACCGAAATGTAAAAGAGAAATAGGCGCATGGTATGAAAATTACCTTTACCACTTCTCATTGAAGTTGGTACCTATAGCTATCATTTGAAGCGGTGAAACACCATAAGTCTAAAGCGCAAGAGTCTGTTCCAATGTGGCGTTTTGTAGAACACGAGATTAACCAATCAGAATTGACTTCATAAAGTCCGCGAATGTTAAATGATTAGAAATCCCTATCAACAACCTTAAAAAAAAAAAACCCGCTTTTTATTGCGCTTAGGGAAGTCGGTAAATTGAATGTTCTTCGTAAGTAGACAAAGCCTAGGTAGATTAACATGCTGATCAAACTACAGTAAGGGGAGGAGTAAAGCATTGGGCTGATTACTTGAAGAGATGAAAAGTGCTATTCTGCCGCACAAGCAAAGTTCTAAATAAAATATATATCACGTGTTCACTAATACAAACCACCAAACTTTTAGTCTGTCAGTGCCTTCCCCCATCCAAATGAAAGCAACTGAAACAAAGTCTTTCGCAATACTCCCCATAAGGAAGATAAATTTTCTTTTGGTAAAACGTAGCACTTCCCTGACTCACTATCTTGTCCTAAATCATCTTGATAACATGTAGAGATTTTTATAATTATTTCTGATATCATATCACTTTTTCAGGTTCTGTTAGCACATAGTCGTTCGTTTTCTTCCTCGATGGCAAAGTTTGTTTAATCTATTAGGCCGGCTGTGTAACTTACTGGTTACATAGTCTTTTGTTTCCACCCGCTGGTTTTGTCCACTGTACATTTAGCTATGATGCTAAAACAAAAGAAGGCCTGGAAAGCCACCGCTGAGACAACATTTGCTACTGTTCATAGAGTTTGCATTTGTGTCGATAGACTTGTAGATTTAGATAATGATTCTGACAAGTAATATGTGGCCACTCCTCTTGTCAGGGGAATACATAATACGTGCTGCCCCGCACAGGCAAGTTACTCCGACAAATTCTTAAAACTTAAGGCCACACACTACTCAGAGACCTTTACGTGGTAAGTTTCTTAACTTAACTATCATTTTTAATTATCATATTGGTTGATTTCTTCCTCTTTTAAAGTTAGTAGTTAATCATCTCTCCTGCGTCGGTGACTCTCGTCTCGAACGAAAAAAAAGAAAAAAAACTCCTCTCAGCGACGGAATTTAAGAAATTAAGTTTGAGCAATGCTTTTTTTAGGGGTTCCGCTAGAAAATGATAATTTGCTTATACAATAGATACTTTATTTTTCTACCAGAACAAAAATCCATCTGGACATGAACTTCGAGATCATTCTGTTTCTCGTTCACGCATTAATCGTGCTAGGGAAGCCCGCTCATCAAGATGAAGGTATGAGTTTCACTGTAAAGCATGCTGGGATGAAAAAAAAATCTCCCACCAATGGCGTAGCTCCACTTTCTGCATATAAACCCACACACAACCCACGATTCCTCTAATCGCTCTGACGAAGGGCTAACGCTCGAAACGTCAGCTTTTTTACCCTTTACGGTGGCTAATTTACGTTTTCAACCCAGTTGTTGACACTAAATTACCTGAAAAAAAATAGTTTCCATTCAAGAAGAAGTTTCTTTATTTTTTAGATGATACTGTACTTGGAAATGCGCAATCATACTTAAAAATTTCCACTCGCACTAGTTTAGAATCAGATTTTTCTGCCAAAAAATGTATTCCGATAGTTTAGTTAAAAATCAATAAAGCACATTTATTCATGCTCACTTGGAATTTGCGCTATTATCGCTAAATTATGATTATCAATTGTGAGACCTTCGCCCCCGATAGTTGTGCCAGCCTAAATTATCACTAGAGTAGTGCATGGAAAAGAAGAATAAAAAAGTATATTGTAAAATGTAAAATTTGAGATCTGTAACCGCTGTGGTATTGTGTACCTAAAATGGCATGATGTAAACATTTTTTGTTATGCTGTTCATCTCTCTCGTCTTTCTCTGTCTTCTTCAAATAATAAACAGAAGATCTTATCATAGTACGCATTTATTCCAGATATAATGGCCATAAAGTTTCTTTTGTCTTGTTTACACCAGCTCTATCAATAAAATTGATAATGTAAGCGAACAAACGTCATTGATTCCATGAAATTTAAGCAATAATTTCATTCTCAACGATTCCTCCCTTTGCCTTGTTTGTCCTTAGTTTTTCTTTTCTGTTGTCTTTGCATCTTTTTTTTCTGGTAGTTATGCTCTTTTACTATCAGTTCTCTACTTTTTTTTCTTATTTCGACGGTAAAAACACGATATGATATATTGACTTGGCTACACTTTCATCACAACCAGATTGCGAATCGTATAATTTACTGTGTTTTATATCTTCATCTAAGTTGGCAGCTGTGATGTTAACTCCAGATGCAGATGGGAATGCGGTTGGCTTGGAATAGACAAAGAAACCTGCGAGAAGCGCGGCTGCTGCTGGGATGACAGTGATCCTTGGGCAAAGTTCTGTTTCGTCAGGAAATATAAAAGTAGGATCCTTCTCATCTATGTAGTATAATTTCAAATGATTTCAAAGGTCTTCTCGCTAAACTACGTATCATCCCAGGGATGCTGCTGAAAAATCCACATGGAGAAGTTGTTCTTAAAATTGCATTCGGTATCCTTACTGATAAGAGCCTGCCCTTTTCAACGGAAGTATTCATAACTACTAAAGAGGTAACTTATTGTGTTGCAGATCTCCCTGATGGACTCTGCCCTGTTGCTCCTTCTGAGCGCCAGGAGTGTGGTCATTATGGGATAACAAGGGATGAATGTCTGAGTAAATCATGCTGTTGGGACCCCACCGTACCTAACGCAAAATGGTGCTTTAAACAGCCTGGTGAGTAATTCTGATGGTACCTTTGAAACGTTCGAACATAATTTACCCTTTCCGACTACTTTCCAAAATCGAGTGAGTGTCAGAGTACATCAGGCATTTGCTAACCTTCCGTAGCTAACGCAAAATGGTGCTTTAAAGAACCCGTTGAGCAAATATGATGTCACTTTAGAACCTTTGGAACCGAATATGATCCCCCCCAATCAAAGAATGAATGTCTAAGTACATCATGCTGAGTGACCTTACCGCAGTGGAAGCTAAATGATGCTTTATCCAGCTTAGTAAGCAACTTTGATAGCACTTGTGAATCGCTGAAAACCACTCCCATCCTGAGCCGATGCTTGTTGTTATCATGACAATAATATTGCCCGTACCTATGACTTTAGATGGGTGACATATTTGTTTTTCTTAATTGGAATAGTTATGAGGGGTAGTTGGAAGAGACTTCACATTTAAGATTTTTATGCGAAACATTTAAAGTATTTTTTTCTTGTTAAAATGTTGTGCATGGATTCTTCAAGTTTTTTTTTTAAATGCACCAATCCTATCGATCTGGATTCCCAAAACGAAATCTAATCATAAAGGGTTGTAACTGATTTAAATTTTACGCTTTAACAACCATCGTCTCTCTCCCTTAGATAAAATGGTGCATTAAATCAAAAGGAAATTTTCTGAAAACTTCACCCTGATTATGGCACCATATTTTAACATCAAATGTCCAAACTGATACAAGGAGTGATGATTTTAGATATAGGAAATTCATATATTTGCACTGCGGTGAAGAAATAAAATTAAGAGATTCTCGCAACTAAGAATACTACTGAAACGAGTAGTTGAAAATAGAACCTGAAAAAAAATTCATATATTTGAACCCATGATCTCTGCGATACCGGTGCAGCACTCTACCGTACGGGCCTTTCAGGTCTTATTTTCAACTACTCGTTTCAGTAGTGTTCTTAGCTGCGAGGATCTCTTAATTTTATGATACTAAGAGCTCGACCTTTCAGAGCCCCTTCTTGCCTAGAAAGAAAATAAAATATCTTCATAAGTCTTCACATAGCTCAGAACGAGCTGCTGGTGTGGCATAATTCAAGTATGAAGTTCATGCCGTTTTCCGGCAGAATTTAAGTGTTTATTTGCCTAATTCAACGCTTCAGTGCTGTACTTTCAATGTACTGTATAATTTTCAAATCTGAACTGCTGCGGGTTTTTTCCTTCAATTCATGCTGATTTCCATAAATTCCATATGAATAATATCAAGAATATTTCTCAATTTCAGTTGAGGAAACGAGATCTTGTTACATTTATCATGGTGTATCGGGAACCTGTAAATACGTGTGTGATAAGGACGAGAGAAAGAGCTATGGAATGGGACAGTGCAAAGGGAGAATATGCTGCTTTTAATTAAAAAGTTATGTGAGTGGATAATACTGTAACTTTGTGTGGATGGTGAAAAAGGGTATACAAATCACCAATCTGTGCTCTTTCGTTTCTTTTTTGAATGGCCTGATCCGTCAACCTGATGTGTTTTCTGTTCAAATCTGGACCCAAAGTACCCCAAATTTTTCGTGTTATCAATTTACTTGAACTAATTCAAACATCCTTCTTCTATCATAAATCAGTTGGGTTGGGCGCACGAGTGGAGAGGAGGCGTTTTGACCGGGCCAAAGTTGTTTCAATTCTCAATGTGAAAGCTCAACCAATTTCGACAGCAGAATGCCGACTGACCATAACAAATGAATAAACAATTAAAAATGAACAATATTATTCTGAGTATCACCTGGACAAAAACTTCAGGCATCTCGAACTCAGACATTTTCGCATATGATTTTGTAATGTTAATATAACTGCTATGATATCTGATTTATAATCATAAACATTATTTGAGCCAATAGGAAATTAAACTATGTATACTCACCTTTCTTAACATTCAATTGGTTCAACTGTTAAGCATGACTGTAATTTGCGTTTCTTTTTTTATAGTGGAAAATGATCCTTGAAAAGTGCCACAGGACAAACAATTCATCACTTACACGAAGAACGTAACATTTCAATCAACATTCAATAAAACATTCACACTCATGAAAACTGTCCTTAATTCATTTTTGAATATCATGCGAATTTCATGAGTGTTATCAACCTTTTTAAGCACACAATCCGTCACTTGGCAACGTTTCGCAGGGCTAATGCGATCCTTATCTAAGATTACAGATAATCGGCAATAAATGAAATGAACCTCAGGTTCACAAGGCTTGTGATTTGTTCCTTTAGAAGTAAGAATACTCTTAAATTTTCACCCATATTGGAGAGCAACTCTTTGAAGCCAGGTTTCAAGCTATTCTTCTAGGCCGATGTTCAGAACTCTGCAGACCTGATTCTTCTAGTCCTAAGTATCCTGAGTATGGTATACTCTGGGCGGGAACGAAATTGGAGCCGAGTGAGATTTACCGAAAGTGAACACATTACGAAATACAGACAGCAAAACCTCAAAAGACTGCTCGTAGCATCAGAAGACTGCATCTTGATTTTCTATCTTATCAGTCTTCATGTTAATCGAAGTCAAGTGGTTCTTTTTTCCTCTCCCTTGGAGATAAATCCCTGTTCCACCGTACCTTAATGCCTTTGGAAGGTTGGGAGCTATGAATTCCAAAAATGACTTCAAGTTACCTTAGAAGCGAGACAGCTTAAGGCACCTGAATAAAAAATAAGTCGAAATTTTCTGGGTTTCAAAGAAGTTTTCTTGGGGGGCTCTTACGATACCAGGGGCCACTTAGGGTCGCCTTCTCGTTACCGATACAGCACATAACTTTATTCATGTTATCGTTGAAACATCTTCAAGTGAAATATTTCCATGGTTTGGATAAAATAAGGCAACTACCTATTAAACTGTTTTTCTTTATTCATAACATTAGAAAATGCAGCTTTTATTACATAGGTAACGCATTTAAGTCTTTATAACCACTTAATAAGTTTAAGCTCTCATTCGTACTTTACGACAAATATTTAAAATTCATGCTTCGTTAAATAAGGAAGGTATTCAGATTAAGTCTAAACTTCTATATTAACCTCATTTTCTACGGAATCTCGGGTATATTTATTCATTTCATTCACACATTTTCTTGCATTGATGCTTTTCTTCACTCAGCTTCTCCCCGTCTTCATTTCTCTAACACCCTGAGGAAAGGAAAAGTTTACGCGGTTTATTTTGCTAATTAGGCAAACTGAAGAACAAAAAAAGACGTACCATGCACGCCCGGAGTCCACTGAGGGTAGGATCTTACACAACAAAAATATAAGCGATTTTGAAAGGTGAAAGTGAGCTTGATGTCTAGGCAATAACGAAAACGATCAATGACGTGGTAGATTCATCATCTGAGCGAATATGAAACTGAAAGGACATATTGAAAGAAAAGGTGGCTGCACATATTATGGTTATGAAAGTCTGAGGACTGTTTTTGTTGCGGGTCTGGTCAGCCAAATGGGTTGGAGAGAGATAAGAAATCCATCTTAGACTAAATTTTACTTTGTATTAAGTTAATTCGAAACTCTTTTTAACTTTGCATCGTCAAGTTATATTTTGTTCTTATACCAGTTAGTTTGTATAGGTAATCACATGATTCCGAGTGCAATTTGGGATAAATCAGCACAAGCAAATTTTTCAAAGGCTCACCAAACTGCTAAAGCCCGTAGGGCGAATGAAAATTATTGTCTTAGAAAAACTTTCAAGTACTGATTTATCCCAAATAATACGAGAAAAGATTCATGTGATTACATGTCAATAATAACGCTGGCGTTTTCGTGCACGAATTTGCGTATAGCTTTTAAATTTCTCTTAGGAATAATTGAGTGTTCACTCTCTTTCTCAGTTGCAATTGGCTAAATAGCGCAACCAGTACACGAAGGCCAACACACTCGTAATTTAATCCTTGTCTTTCGTACGAATTATTGCATAAACTGCGAGAGAATTTTGTTGAGGACTTCCGATTTCTGCGTTTCAATACCTTTTTCATGACCTTTTTTGGAAGCCCAAGACTTCCCAACTTTTAGCCAGTTGTTCTTGCTTTGTTGCGGGATTTTTTTCTGGATTAAAGCGTTCTTACTTTCCCCTAACCCGTCTGCTACTTTGTTTTGGTGTGCTATCGCGACTGGAGAGTCGCGAAAGCACACCATTGCGCAGAATACCTGGACATGATTAAGCTATGAATAGGTATTTAGGAGCGCTGACTTGGGAATATTTGAATGCGATCGCGTCCTGAAAGCCCATAATAAGAGAAGAAAGGGCCAAAATTAGCACAGCAGCGTTGATAAAAGTCGCTTTCCCGATCGCCAGAAGCAATAAGTCAAAAACTCAAAAGCAGATTTTTAAGGAGGGAGGGTTTTATTTAAATTCATTTAAAGCTTAAAAGGAGGAAGTTTGAGAAAATATAAAGTCTATTCCTTCACCTTTGAAAATGTCGAAAAAACCGGACCTTTTTAGTATAAGGGTCGATTTAAAAGCGATCTTAAAGAAAAAAATTCGAACTGGCTTCCAAAAACTCAAGAGCGGGAAATGGAGAATGGATCTTTCCTGCAATAGAATCCGGTTAAACTTTAAAAGTTGGTGAACTAAAACCGCTTGTCCTCGCAGTTTTAGAATTTTAAGTCGAAGTTCTTTTCGAAAACAGCGCGCTTCGAGTTCGACACCATTGTCTTCGGCCCACGAATAACAATGGTCGCCAAAACTAAACAATGGCCAATTCAAGAAACCTCTCATGCCGCGAGTTTTGAAACGGGTCTTGGCTCATCAGCTAGCTCAAGCAACACTTGTCCAATGTCCACGCGAACACAATCCTACCCAAGCAATTTGTTTCTAGAATTTGAAATGGTTTTCCGTTTTGCTGAACTAAACAATTGCCATTTCTTACACATCAACTCAACTTTGTATAGCCAAGGATTTTCCTCGATTTAAATTTAACCTTCTTCACTGTTTGGGATAAATTGATTAAGAGTTGGTTAAAACTGAAGCTGTTGTCTATTTCCTCAAAAATGATGACGAGCCAGGTACTCTTGAGACTTTTCGGAACTTTTGGAGAGTACTTCTTGTTCCTTCGAGTAAAAAGCAACTATTTCAACAAGACCTTAAACCCTCCGTTTTCAGTGAAGAAGGGTACGTAAGAAAGAAAGTTAAAGAAAATCTGCATAGGCATAACGAAAAGATATATATTAAGTTAAAAAGCGATAAGATAAAATAATGGCCGAAAATTTCTGTACCATTTACGTATTGGAAAGAAATTAAGCTAAAACAAGAAAGTACTCACTAAGACGCCAAACATCTCGTAACCTTTCTCCTCCGCTGCAACTTTACAAAGTTCAAACGCCGTTTTAACATCGCACTTCATTTCTCCTGCAGCCTTGATGTCTGCGAATCTTTCATCAAAGACAATTTTCTCTCCCTTCTTGAGTACTTTGAAGCATCCCTCTGACCTCCACCCGTCTGCAGTAACTGATTGGAAGAAGGATTAATCCACCATAAGTTTATTGGGATAGTATTGAGATCATGATCATGATCATTATTATTAGGATTATCATTATTGTTATTTCTACTATTAAACAAAACAAAAATAAAATTCTTGAACGAGATTGGTTACTAGCAGCCCGATTCAAGCACTAAGAGGATAAAGTATGCGCCTTGCTTGTAACTGGACAATGTATTATGGCAGTTGATGCATCATACCTGTGCAATTGGACAGTACGAGTTTTTTGCGTGCGCTGTTGTGGCGTATTCGCAGAGTAAACAATTATTTAGTTGTGAACGCGGTCTGATCAATTGGTAGTTAATTTGTTTAATTCGTAATTGTGACTGCAATCATACTCTTTGTTAATAAATCATTTGCAGCATGGCAGCTTTTAAGTTCGCTATTACAGTTTTGATGGAGAACGAAAGAGTTATTGGCTATGGAGGATATCTGCTATATTGATCTATTAGTAATTTCTGTGCCATGTATAAGAAAACGGTTTTACCTTCGATCTTTGTCGATTTTCTTTCATATATTAACACCAAGTTCACTACTCCTCGTCATCATAGATATGAAAGTTTTCCAAATATGGCAATTTATTCTGCCCTCTTCGTAAATGGTAATAAGTAAGAAACATTAAAACTGCAAAAGATTTGTACGTTCACCATCTTATAGGTAAAAGAAAAAAGCCCAACAGCCCTAAGAATAGTCTGCTACTTTGAAATATCAATACCTCTGTAAAATAATCACAAGATCTGCTCTTGGTTTTGAAAACAATCAAAATTTGCAAGAATGTAAATCAGATCATTAAGGTACCTTCACAATTGGCTCCAGAATATCCCTCGGCACATTTGCAGCTATACGAATTATCTTGGGTTTCTGTACAGACTCCTCCATTCTGGCAAGGATTCTTGTCGCATGAACTGACTACAATGGAACAAAAACTCTAAGTTTACTTTTGATTTAGTAATGTTAAAATGAACTAACCACTTGAAATGAGTAATATTGGCAAGATTGTATTCAGCCGTCCCAAACGAACTCATTTGCTGCCCAAGCACTCATTGGCCCAAAGGTATAATTATTTACCACTTCTTATCATTTAGGCTAATAACTTTTCTCTTTATAAAAAGTATCTTAAGGTATAATTATACAAAATGGTATTTTTCGAATATTAAAACTCGCTAGCTACTGTTTGTTACTTGCCGCAGTTAGCCCAGGATCCACTGTAGGAAGCAGTGAGTGAACACCACAATCGGCTATGAGCGGCCATGGTACAAGCGTTGTAGGTCGTTCCTCCATAGGTAAAAGGGAGAAAACAGCAGGCACCTTGCGGATTGTCGGTTTTTTTGCCAGGTGAACATGGCAGCTCTGTGGAAGAACAGAAAAATGTCCTTCACGTTCCTAGTATATTATAAGTTAATTTTAAAGCAAAGCGATAGGGCGATTTCTGGTGCATGTACCTCTGTTTACATTGAATGACAAAGGCATTGAGATAAAAAATGAGTTATTGAGAATTTTCAGTTAGTCTTCCATTGTAAAAATGCATCGTCACACTGTCCAGAGCTTACATACCACTATTGAAAAAATAATAAAAAAAGTAAAAGAAAGATAAGAAAAATATCCTATATTGCATGAATTGTTCACACATAGTTTACAATCTATATGCCTGTATGTACTTTTTTCACAATTTTCTCCAGAATATCCAACGGCACATTGGCAACTGCGCGAGTTGTTTCCTGTTTCGCTGCAGATTCCTCCATTTTGACAAGGTTTCTTAGCGCATGGGCCCGCTGCGGAGTAACAAGAAACCATAAATTAGATATGTTCATTCTTTTGTTTGCATGATTGTGGTATTTGACATCAAATCAGGAATCTGTTCAGGGGTGACAAAAGTATTCATTATATGCACAAGTCAAAAAATGATGATATCTTATTCATATCCTGTGATTACCTCTCCGTATTGAATACAATACGTCAGCTTGCTCATAGAGGCCCAAAAATATATCAAGTAAAAACATTATCGAACATGAAAATGACTGTTAGCTGAACTCACAGTCGTCACACATATACCTATTTCACAATTGCCTCCAGAATATCCTGAAGCACACTTGCAGTTATACGAGTCGTTTCTGTTTGCTGTACAGACTCCCCCATTCAGGCAAGGGTTGTTGTCGCATGGACCGACTGCAGTGGAACAACAATTACAAAAAAAACACTCAATTAAGCACCTCCATACTTTTGTAACTCTGGATAAACTTTAAGTTCAATATTATTAGCAATAGTCTTTGGTCTGACAAGCATATATTTGATGACTGATGATTAATAGTCAGACCTAACAGACAACACCTAGTTGCTCCAAAAGAGTAATAGTTGTATGTCTTCTTACCATTGTGGCTGAAAAGTCGTTTTTCAAAACGAATATATTGTACAAAAGTGTTTGTTGGTTTTTATTTGGCATGCATTTAAACTCAGGATTTTCTGTTCCTTACCACAATTAGCCCAAGATCCACTGTAAATAGCGGTTAACGAACACCACAATCGGCTATGAGCGGCCATGGTACAAGCGTTGTAGGTCGTTCCTCCATAGGTAAAAGGGAGAAAACAGCAGGCACCTTGCGGATTGTCAGTTTTTTTGCCAGGTGGACATGGCAGCTCTGTGGAAGAAAAGTTAAATGTCCATTACGGTCTGGGTGTACTATCAGTTAACTTGAGAGCAAAGCAATGGGGCGATTACTGGAACACGTACCACTTTTTACTCTGAATGGATGTCGTTAATGGGGATAATTAAGAAATCAGTTATTGAGAATTTTGAGTTTATGTTCCATTGTAAAAATGCACCGTCACACCGCTTGAGCTTACATAGCACTATTTCAAGTAGATCGTAATTCAAATGATGCAAAAAAAAGGAAAATGAAAGGTAAGAAATATCCTATATTACATAAATTATTCCCACATAGTTTAAAATCTATATGGCTGTATGTACTTTTTTCACAATTTTCTCCAGAATATCCAACGGCACATTGGCAACTGCGCGAGTTGTTTCCTGCTTCGGTGCAGATTCCTCCATTTTGGCAAGGTTTCTTAGCGCATGGGCCCGCTGCGGAGTAACAAGAAACCATAAATTATTCATGTTAACTCTATTGTTTGGATGAATGAGGTACTTGATATCAAATCAGGAACCTGTTCAGTGATGACAAAACTATTCATTTTCAGCATAAGTCAAAAAATTATAATATGTAATTCATTTACTGCCTGTGATTATCTCTCCGTATTAAAAACCATGCGTCATCTAGCTCATAGCGGCCAAAAAATACCAAAGATAGAAAAAGATCAAACATCGAAATAACTGTTAGCTGAATTCACAGTCGTCACCCATGTACCTATTTCACAATTGCCTCCTAAATATCCTGAAGCACATTTGCAGGTATACGAGTCGTTTTTGGTTGCTTTACAGGCTCCCCCATTCAGACAAGGGTTGTTGTCGCATGGACCGACTGCGATGGGAAAAATAAAACAACAATATCAATAACACTCACTTAAGTACCCTCCTACTTTTGTAGCTGTAGATGAACTATTTAATATCAATATAAGCAACAATCTTCTTTGGCCTAACAATAGCATGTATTTGAAGACTGATGAATAATAGTCAGACCGAACAAACAACACCTAGTCGCTCAAAAGTGTAACTGTTGTATATTTTCTTACCATTGTAGCTGGAATATCGTCTTTTAAAACGAAGTTAAAGTACAAAAGTGTTTGTTGGTTTTTATTTGGCACGCATTTAAACTTGCGATTTTCTGTTCCTTACCGCAGTTAGCCCAAGATCCACTGTAAGTAGCGGTTAACGAACACCACAATCGGCTATGAGCGGCCATGGTACAAGCGTTGTAGGTCGTTCCTCCATAGGTAAAAGGGAGAAAACAGCAGGCACCTTGCGGATTGTCGGTTGTTTTGCCAGGTGGACATGGCAGCTCTGTGGAAGAACAGAAAAGTGTCCTTCACGTTCCTAGTATATTTTTAGTCAGTTTGAAAGCGAAACGATGGGGCGATTACTAGTACAAGTACCCCTTTTTACACTTAATGGATGTCTAACTGGGGTCAGGTAAGAAATTAGTTATTGAGAATTTGAGTTAGTATTCAATTGTAAAAATGCACCGTCACGCCGTCCGGAGCTTACATGGCACTATTTGAAGAAGATCGTAATTTAAAGTTGGTTCACAAAAAAAATGAAAGGTAAGAAAAATATCCTATGTTGCATGAATTGTTCACACATAGTTTACAATTTATATGCCTGTATGTACTTTTTTCACAATTTTCTCCAGAATATCCAACGGCACATTGGCAACTGCGTGAGTTGTTTCCTGTTTCGGTGCAGATTCCTCCATTTAGGCAAGGTTTCCTGGCGCATGGGCCCGCTGAGGAGTAACCAGAAATCATAAATTAAATATGTTCATTCGTTTGTTTGCATGATTGTGGTATTTGATATCCAATCAGGAATCTGTTCAGTGGTGACAAAAGTATTCATTTTCTGCATAAGTCAAGAAAATGATGATATCTAATTCATATTCTGTGATTATCTCTCCATATGGAATACCATACGTCAACTAACTCATAGCGGCCCAAAAATATCAAGGATAGAAAAAGATCAAACATTAAAATGACTGTTAGCTGAATTCACAGCCGTCACCCGTCAACCAACTGTTAGTTCAATTCACATTTGTGATGCAGGTACCTATTTCACAATTGTCTCCAGAATATCCCACGGCACACTCGCAACTGTACGAATCATTTTTGGTTTCTGTACAGACTCCTCCATTCTCACAAGGCCTCCTGTAGCATGGGCCGACTGTGAAGGAACGAAAAAAGACATTTCATTAATCTGGTTCATACTTTTGTTTCAATTAATGAGCTGTTTGAGATTAATATTAGCTGGAATCTGTTTAGGCCTAATAGCATACATTTCTACTGGCGTCCTAAGCTCACGTCTCAATTTTCGGACGCGCCTGTATATATTCTTGAATGCGTCACGCGTTGTGTTACGTGGTGTTAGGCTAAACGAGAGGAACCGTTTAGAATTTGAATCTGTTATGAGGATTTGCATCGGAAACGGAATACGGATGATTTAAGACGCTTTATATTCCGAGATATAAACATTTTACACGTAAGATCAAAAAACTTACTCATTGTGTGTCCGTCGTGGTTTCTGGTGATCTCTGCCGTTTTGGAGCCTGCTTTGTCATGCCTGTCATAACACAGAGTGATGGCAAAGCAGAAACCAGAAACCATAACGGACACAAAAGAAATGAGTAAGTTAATTAATTTTATGAGTAAAATGCTCATATTTCGGAAGAATAAGCGTTGTTAATCGACTTTATTTGTTTCCCCACACTATTCCTTAAAATGGGTTCAAATTCTCAACAATTCCTCGCGTAACCTAACACTGCGTATCACACAATGCGTGACGCTTTCAGGAATATACGTTAAGTGTGCAAGCATTTTCTCGAGACATGAGCTTGGGATGCCTGTGATATTTGATGACCGAGATCTGATAGCGAGATCTAACGGACAAGATCTAGTTGCTCTAATTAAGTATTGTTGTATCTCTTCTTATGATTAACCCTTTAACTCCCGTGAGTGACCAGAACAGAATTTCTCCTTACTATATCTGTACAATATCATGCAGACAAGTGATGAGACTAAAGAAAAATATCAATTATGGCATTTCTAATTGATCCGATATCAAATTCTCCAAGTCAACATGATGAGAATCATTTGGCAGACAGTAAGGAGAATTACTAAAGAGATCTTGAGGAGTTAAAGGAGTTGAGATAAGTTAATCAGTTTAACGTCAGAGACATAGGGAGTGGTCTCCCAATCTCCCAAGCCCGAGGCTCGTGATATTAGTGTTTGACAAGCTAAAAAAACTTTAAGACTATACATGCTAAGAGCTACGAAATTATCAAAAGAATAGAAATAAGAACGGGAGACTACATATATTAGTATAATTAATTGATCAAGTCTAAAGGTTATTGAGAAATGACTAATAATATCTGCCTACACAACTGATTAAAGAATTACAATATTCAAAACGCGGTAATAAAAAACTATATAAAAGAAACACTAAGCACTTATGGCGACAAAGTGCAGATATCATAGTATAATTATGCTCTCTTCAACAATACATTTTTGTGCACTTGAGCAGATAACTTACTTATCCAAATAAATAAGCTGATACTAAATCCTGTTTTATACAAATATTTTAAAGTATATCGGTACAAAAGCGTTTTTCTAAATTTTTTTGTGAACATCTAAACTCTTTTCCTTCTGTTCCTTACCGCAGTTAGCCCAAGATCCACTGTAAGCAGCAGTAAGTGAACACCATAATCCGCTATGATCGTCCATAGTACAAGCGTTGTAGGTTTTTCCTCCGTAGGTGAAAGGAAAAACACAGCAAGTACCTCTCGGATTGTCTGTCTTCTTACCAGGTGGACAAGGAGGCTCTAAACACCTACTAAAGACTGCAAGAGGCAACACACATCGGAAATTTTTGTGAGATCAAGAAACTTCTAATGACGTCAGAGATCGCGAGTTGGAAAGAGGCACGGTATTCTTATGAGCCCAAGATGTTTATCATTATACGAAATAAGTTGTAGACTGAACTCGCTTAAAAGGCTTCATCATTGGACAGTTTGACAGGTTAGTAGATCTTTTTGAAGCCGTCTTTTCCCGTCTGATTAATATAAGAGAGAACAAGGTAGAGAGAGGGACAATCAGGACGTTTGCCGCGATAAGTCGTCGTCACCGAGGTTTTTAACCTTTGTGTGGAAGGAAAGCTAGTTCCCCCTTTCCTGCATTGCGAACACTAACGCGCTTGCAATTTTTCGAAGCTATTTAAATCGAAATCAATATCCTCGCTGTTCACCAATACATCAATGTAATTTACTGGGGCCGAACGCAATAAGAGAAAAAGACATTTTAAGTAACATGTGTAAGTACACAACTATATAACAGCTGTTTCAATAAGTGAAACCCCAAGAAAGCTAAGTAAATACTAATGAATACATGACGTACTTACCACAAAACATGTTAACGCCACAAATAAGCAGTGCCAACATACATGCAGTTGACTTCATAGTGTCTAGTAAAAGTGGGTTGTAACTGAAACTTCAAAAAAAGGATTTCAATTAAAAATAGTTAAATTAACTGTTCACATTTGCATTTTTTTTTGGAGTAGTTTGTCGCATTTGCTTCGGAGCGGATGATCGTCTGCTAATTCAGTGATAACCTCCATTTTGCAACATTGGAAACTTTGTTAAAAGAATAAGAGAGATGGTGACCTGACACTATCAACATTGCTGATCCTAGCAGTATGCAGAATGGCGTGTCATATATGGACTTTGTAATGGCCCGCGCTCACCATGGAGTCTCTATGACTCAATAGTAGAGTATTTAACCTCGGATCCGAAGGTCTGAGGTTCGATTCTTCATGGGGACCCAGATTTTTTTCTTTGTCCCACGCTCGTGACAAGGCGAAAAATTGGAAACATTTCTGGTTCATCATTGGAGTTTTTTTTAAGCAAAAAAAAAAGCTGCTATGATGTGTTTGGAGGGAGTTCAGAATCATCCCAATTTGTTATTCTACTTAAAAGTGGACTTAATTCACCTTAACAATTGCTATGCATTTTTTTCGTCGCCTAAAGAACCCAAAGTGGGCCTACATTTATGCCTACATTGATGACACAGAAATTTTAGTTGAATTCAGGGTTTCTATGTCAGATTGAAAGTTTTTTAGTACAAAACGCTTACAATACAATTTTTCAAATTTTATAATTTTTCATTTTTGATGTAACATACTGATAGTTAGATCATCTAGATTGTTTGATTTCATAAATTTACTTTTTGTGTGCAGTCACACCATTAAATTGCAACAAGTAAAATTATCTTTTTTGTTGAGGCAAAATTATTGATAATTTTTTTCGCTCTATGCATTTTTTGCGTTTATCCACCTCGCTGACTTTATAAGCTATTTACTGATCATCGTTGCCGACCTATTTGACTACTTTTTAATTCGTTTATATAGTTATCTTTTGCTTTGTTCTCGCTGAATAACGGCATTTGTAACCAAAGTAGCCATTAAAGGGAATTCATGTTCATTCATAAATCATACTTTTGACTTCTTTAGGTCAGGTCACGATTTCTTTATTGTGTACGGCGGCAAATTTATGGTCAACGTTGCTTAATCAAAGCGGTGTTGTTTTTCAGCAAAATGAAAGGCCGCGTTTTGTGACAACGTAAGAAACTGGTGACCTACAGCTGTTCAGTGTAGCTGTTCATACTGCTTACTGATATAGTGAAAGGAATAGAAGTTGGGCAAAACACGTAGAAAAAATACACAAGGAGCAGTTTATAAAATCAAATGCTTGGACTGTGGAACCCACTATAACTGGCAGGAATCCAACACCCGACAGACAGAACACAAGCGGGCCACAAGCGGTGGTGACATCAACAATTGCACAGCTGAATGTTATCGACTCACGAACTACACCATCGACTAAGACTTTTAGCAATGCTCAACCCACAACACTTACCGTATTCCAACGACTAACTCTGGAAAGCTGCTTCACTTACTTAGAACGAAGTCCACTCGATAGATATCAACAATTACCGGCACCAAACAAACGATATATTGACGCCAATTACTAAACAAATGAATCGAATACCAAGGAGCGACGCAAAACAGTTACGTCAAAAATCACCTGGCTGGAAATCGTCAACCAAAGAATTACATTATTGACTGAGACTTTGCGCAACTTGATTAACAACCTACAGCACTAACCACCTAATTTTTTAGCGACTGACTTTTCAGAAGCTCATTCGCTAACCTAGACCAGAACCAAATGGGTCATACGTCAGCGTGCGTTCATGGAGATATGAAACAAGCGGGAAGTTGGAGAGCACGGGTGAGGAATTCTTGAGTGCTTTCAAAACTTAACTCCATGATTGCACAACTGACGCATGAACTAAGTGCTCTATAACATTGTCAAAACAGTATTTTGGATGTTGTTTTGACAAAATTTTAAAGTCTTGTGAAAGACAGCGTGTAATAAATCTTAAGTAAATCGTCTTTTGATCAAAAAAACCTCTGATAAAGTCAAAACGGTTCGAAAACTTATTCCCAAACTAAGGAAATGATAATTTTAATGAAAATGTACTCGATTAGATATCGAAGTACATACTTGGTGATCACGGAGATTTTAAAGTCAATTTGCATATTTATCGCGTGCTAAAAGGCAAGGCAAAGTCTAATTTCCTTACGTATATGCCGCTCGTGCTAAAGATTCAAAATGCTTGAATTGTTGTTTACTCGACAGAACACATTACGAAACGGTGTGTTGGAAATTTTGTAAGTTGCCAGATTTAAAACAAAATCTCCTGCTGCGCAATACTCCAAGGACATATCCATACTTAGAGATTACATTTACCTAGAACAGATGCCAATATTGTCGAATCTTCGTCACTACCACCGACAACGGTCCTTTTCAAGATTACTGTCAACCGGACAATCAGTTTACACTATAAATTTTATGACGTGACATAAATTTCATGCGACCGAGCTCTCTGACATTTCTCATTTGAAGCCTGAATGTGTGTGTTCATTTTTACACAGCAAATATGAAGTAAATGAATTCAATCAAGTGGTATTTACCCTCAAATACGGTGTTCCTTCTCAACTCTTGTAATTTCCTGTTTACTTCTTCACTTCAGTTCTTTCGTGTAAAGTTCTTTGCAGAGTAACTTTGATTGAAATGACCTTACTAGCCCTCCGTAACAGCATTTAAAGATCTGAAGACGCACACTTATTCAAAGAATGTTTATATCAGGTTGTTTTTTACCTGAACACAATTTCCTGGTGATTTGTTTTTTGCATGTGTGCGAAGCACGTCCTCGAGTGGAAAGAAGGCTATTAATTGCCTATTCAAACAACAGAGTTCCTCCCTCCCTGTGGCCGTTAAAACTACCGTCCTTTCTGACACTTCTTGCCCTTGTTTTGTACTTCATTCCATACATATTTCAGGCCTTACAATGTTTCTGAAAAAAAAAAGGGAAGTTGTCACATAGTCGCGTTGGCACGCATGTGAACCAAGGAAGTCATGCCAAAACCATCTTCTCTTTCAGAGCGTAGCAGCTGAATGGTCACGGGCAACTAGTTTCTTTCAGCAATTAGGAACTTACCTCTTACAGTGCTTTTTACCTTGTAGCTCACGTACACTACAGATTGTTTAAGAATCTATTTCAGCAGCTAACAGTCGTCAGTATTGGTAAGTATTCTAGACCCCTGGCAGATGATTTAATCAATTTTGAACCAAGAGATCAAAAAATGGTGGAGGCGCAACCATAATGTAATACTTTTATCATACTTGCCTTTTTGCTGATTTTTGTGACTTTACAGGTCGTTACCCTTTGCGGCATCGTTTGTTTGGAAATTTTCCACGAGGAAGATTCAGCTGTCGAGACGTGTTTGAATTGATTTTCGCAACTTTCCTAGGTCAACAGTTTTTTCTACATCAGCATATAACGAACGTGAATAATAATGTGAATAATAATGTGAATTTACCCTAGTGTGTTTACTCAATTGACGCTCGTGTTGACTTGTGTCAATGCTCATTTACTAAATCCGAAATCAAAGGTGACAAATATATCTTGTTGATTGA